TTCCTTTAAGTAAAAGTTCTGAAAAGCATTTTTGGCCAATTCTTGGAAAATTTCAGAATTTAAGACATCCCTTTTTGATTGCTGTTTATTTAGGTTCTGGGAAACCTAATAACGTTAATGAATTCTTGGAAAAATTTGTCGAAGAAGTAGCGAATTTGCAAGAAAATGGGTTTCAATGGAGTGATGGTAGTACATATAAATTTAAAATTAATAATTTTGTGCTGGATGCTGAAGCACGCTCGTTTGTAAAACAATGCGTTGCGCATGGTGGTTACTATGCTTGTGAAAAATGTACTGTGAAAGGAACGTATTACAGAAATAGAATGTGTTTTTTTGAGCAAAATTGTCCACGTCGTACCGATACATCTTACCGTAATAGAGATAATCCTGACCATCATGTTGGTAATTCATTATTAGAAAATATTGAAATTGGAATGGTTTCTCAATTTCGTTTTGATGCACTCCATCTTGTATATCTCGGTGTTGTAAAAAGAATGCTCAACTTTCTTATAAGTGTCCGTTCTCAGTGTATATTGTCAGATTCAATTGTGTCTCAAATCAATAATATGTTACATGATATTCGTGATTGTTTTCCAATAGAATTTACTCGAAAACCAAGGAGCTTAGGTGTTCGTAATAAAAGGGAGAAGTGGAAGGGTTCTGAATTTCGAAGATTCATATTGTATGATTGTATTTATCTTTTAAAGGGTCATGTACCTACTAATGTCTTCCAGTGTTTCCTTCTTTTACATTGTGCAATTTATATTTTGTGTAGACATGATCTTTTTCAAACAATGAATAGAGTTGCTGATTGTATGTTAAAAGAATTTGTAAATCAGTCAGTTTATTCATTTGGACGTGAGTTTGTGGTTTATAATGTTCACTCACTCATTCATCTAGCTGAGGAATGTTATAATAGGGGTACATTGGATTCATGGAGTACATTTCCTTACGAAAATTTTTTGGGCGTTATAAAAAATCATTTGCGTTCCATTCATCGACCATTGCAACAGTTGGCTAACAGGGATATAGAATTGCAAGGGGCACTGATAAAATCATGTCCTCGTAAAGATTTTAATCTTGTGCAAGTGAAAAAACCATTTGATGGTTATAATTTAGAAATTGAA